TTGACAGTCTCAAAAAGAGATGGACAATTGTTGTCTAAAACAATTTAAAACACCAGTGAACTATTCAAAGTTTTATTTTTCCTTTTTAGCCAGCATCTGACTCTTTTTACAGTAGCAATAAAATCTGTTTTTATTTGTCATCAGTTTATAAACTGATGAGTATAAATGTAACTGTATTCAATGCTACAGGTATAATTATGTCAGGGTACCTGGATTTTGCTCCTGGATATGTCATTCAATTTGCTGAATGATTGTTGAGCACCTACTTTGTGTAAGGCATTGTTTTTAGCTGTGATGAGTAAGACAAATTTTTGGACCTCAGTTCCCTCAATAGTGGACTTCAATAAAGTTATAAAAACTAGTATTTACCAAAGTGTTTTACAGATCATCAGTTACTTAAGTGCCAATAGTTTATGCTACAAGAAAAGTATTAGTTAGAATCATGGTTTAGGAAAAAACAAAAGGTTTCTATGGTGTCTGATTTCTCAAGGCCTCTAAGATGCTCACATGCATTGTGAATTTCCAAGAAGGAACATGTAATAGTCCCCAAAATTATTTGACTATGGGACCCATTTTTCACACAAAGTTTCATGGGAATATCATTTTAAGGAAGAAGCTTTGGGAAATGCTGCATTAAATGATGTTCAAAGTCTTTTTAAGTTTTATAATTTTTCTTTTTTAATAAGAAACAGAGCTGCTGAAAACTGAGCCTTACTTCATGAAATAATTTGAGAAAATAAGCTTGAGAAAAAACTCTCACGAAGACAAGGAAAGTTATCTGAGACTATGGGTACTAGCAACAAGACGTCAAACTACTGAGTATAGAGTAATATGAAAATCATTGAGAATCATGGCCAGAAAATGCAGCAGGAAGGCATACTTACAGAATATACTTGAAGCAGAGATTCTTTCTAACAAAGTCTTCTTCCGACCTACTTTATCAAAAGTAACAGGAATGTGTTTTGCAATGGCTTACCATATGTCATTGATCCTAAACATCAAATATATGTTGGACTTATGTTTTGTACCTTAGGCGATATGCCTATGGGTATATGGAATATCTATATTACTGCCGCTAACATACCTGGCATTCATCTTCTACAAGCCCCTCACATTACTTTCCTGCCTACCACTGACTCAAATTCCCTATCACATCCTTAACTTTCCTCTGCCATGGAGAAGAGATATTGCTTTGGTTAGAATCAGCTGGCAATAAACAGGGCTGTAAAGCTCAGAGCTTCCACGTGCAGTCAGGCATGTCTGGGGAGGATTTCTGAAAGCTCACAATAAATCCAGTTAGTCCAAGGAGACTAGGTTTATGAATGAGTCCGTTTAGTAATAGAGCACAGTTCAAGAATGACTCCACTGACTAGCAGTAGAATATTCAATGGAAAAAGCAAAACTGTGGAAGTACTGAACTTCAGTTCTGAAGACCACTGAAACACGCAAGTAATGTCTATAAATACTTCTGTGTAACTAGAAGGTGTAAGGTGTAGACAAGTCATATGTTCAAGAAAGGAGAGGGAAGAGAGAAGGAAAGGAAGGAAGTGAACAGAAAAAGGGAAATGAAAAAAATTAGGATAGGAAAGAAATTAGTATGACAAGAACTCCTACCTATCATTCTCTTCTGCAATCAACCTCCTCAATGTCTTTAAAAATGTATGTCCATTTCTGCCTTTCCAACACTTATTCTACACCTTCTGCCTGAAATCCTGTTCCTCACTCCCATTTCTTGTCTAAATTTGACCATTTCTTTAAGGTACTTCTAAAATTTCAGTTCCTCCATCACCAGGCAGGTTCAGTATAGGAGAAAGAAGTCCTTTAGGTATTTTAGGCAGTAAGGATTTTAATACAGGAATTATGTGTTTGCAAAAGAAGTAGAGGATGCTAGCTCGGCTTTGTAAAATAATCACCATGAACATGTGAAAACACCTTTGTGACTACAGGGTTAAGTTAAATATACATCCATAGCAACATCAGGAGGCCAAAATATAAAAGCTGTTGTAGTAACTACTTTTTAATATTGGGGAGGAAGAATAACAGAAGCTGGAATGTTCTATAAAATCTTCCTTTGATGACTGTTCCTGCCACTTCCAAACCCAAGGAGCACTTAGTCTAACCTGGTTGTTTAAGGACACTCAGCATACAAATACTGGCTTGTAAAATTATGCTCACTTCGCATACACATCCACTCTCCTTAATTGGGTGTAGGCCCTTGCAGCTAGAACAGTCTCTTCTTCCTCCAATCAAACCTAACTCAATTCTTCTGGATGGCTTTTCAAAGTATGTATAAATTACTAATTATAAACAGTTAATCTCTTTGTGGACTGTGCCATTTCAGTTTAGCATAAAGGAGTGTTTTTCCAACACTCTTGAGGTAATTCTAGTTTTCATCCTTACATCTTGTTGTGGGATGAAAGATTTAAAACCTATCATGGAAATGTATGCCTATAATTAACAAGTGGTTGAGATTTTTTACCTTTGCAGATGGTGAGGAGAAGAATAACAAGGGTTGGGGAATAGACCAACACATTTATGTTATCTCTGAAATCACTCAAAGCTTGACCTAAGGTAAATTTGCTTTGTTCTTGTACTTGTTTGGAGATAGTTTTCCATGTTGTTTCTATAATCTATTAATTTAGACTATCCTTTCAAGGTCGTCTGTATAACACATGGGTTTGGAAGCTGGAGATAGTATTTCTTTCCAGTTTAGAAGACAGATCTGGGACTGGCAGAGTGGCTAAAGTGGTAGAGCACCTGCTTAGCAAGTGTGAGGTCCTGAACTCAAACCCCAGTACCATCAAAAAAATGTAGAGGATATAGATTTGTTTGTTAACCAAAATATAAAGTTATTATTCATGTGGGGGCAAAGGATTTGCCCAGATTTGGTCACAGGTCTGATGTAAGACTGGGGGTTTTCTAAGCTCAATTTTCCTCAGATGTGACACAGGCATGATGCCCGTGCAGCATCTACCTGGACTGGTCTTCCATATTGTCCTTATGGAACCAGGGGCAAGGAGATCCACGCAAACATGACACTTATGCTACATGCTGTGCCCTAAATAATGAACTGACTATCAATTTGGACTTGTGGTCTTCGTACCAGTCGAGTCCATCTGCAAGCCAACACAGTAATGCAATAGTTTGGCTACTTCACAGTATCATCTTTTGGTTGCTTGGTTGGAGGGGGAAGGAGGTGGCAAAGTGGTGAAGGAAGGTGAATATGGCACAAATATTGTGTACACATGTATGTAAATGGAAAAATGATATTTACTGAAAATACTCCAGGAATGGGGGGGAGAGGGGATAAAGGAGAATGGTGGAGGGGTGAATTCAAGTATGATATATTTGATATATTATAAGAACTTGTATAAATGCCACAGTGTACCCCCACCCAGCACAACAATATAAACAAAGAAATTGCCTTGTGGAGTGGCTCAAGTGGTAGAGCACCTGCCTAGCAAGCATGAAGCCCTGAGTTCAAACCCAGTGCCACCAAAAAACAAAAAGAAAAAATTAAAAAAAAACAACAGTAGATGAGTGAATGAAATCTGGATGCAATGTAAAGAATGAGTTAAAGAGGAGAAAACCTTGGCAGGAAGAGTGGGGAAGCGGGGACGGGGCGGGGGGAGAAATGACCCAAACAATGTATGCACATGTGAATAAATACATTAAAAAAAAGAGGAGAAAACCTTAATCAGGAAGACTGCTAGGCTACTTCAATTGATTACACAATAGATACAGTGGACTAGATTGGGATAACAGAATAATAAAGATTAAAAAAGGAAAAGAGTCAAAAGAAGAAGAGCCCTCAAGTATTCATAGAGATTCCACTAAACTCCTTGGCTGATCCTTGAATTGAAAATACATGAGGAAGAGTCAGGTGTCATGATACATGCCTGTAATCCCAACAGTATTGGCTAAGGAAGGAAGATTGCAAGTTTGAGGCCAGCCTGGGGTACACAGTGATGCCCTATCACAAACAAATAAACAAAAAAGTGTGGCTACTCCAAGAAGTATGGGAGGAACCAGCAAGAGGAGAAAAGGGAAAAAGAGAGGGTGATGGGAAGTAAAATTTTCATGTGTACGAAAATAGCATAATGAAAACCAGTAAAAACTGTTAAAAGGGAGAGGGAGTAGAGAGGGTAGATAAGAAAGAGTAAGCTAGATGTGGTGAATTTGTGCAAAGTACATTATATGCTTGCACTTTTGTAAATATCAGAATGAAACCCCTTTATACAATTAATTTATGCTAATAATTGAGATCACGCGTTCAAGGCCAGCCTAGGCTACATATTGATATTTTATCTAATAACAAACAAACAGAGAAACAAAGATGTTCAGAAAAGATGGTCATAATTACCAAATTTCCCAGCAGAGGAGATGAAACTTTAAAAAGAATCAATGGGAAATTCTAGAATTGGAAAGTTATACAGTATCTGAAATGTAAAAATTATTACATAGACTTAATAGTAGATTAAATAGAAGAAAAAAAAGTTAGTGAATTTCTCTATATATCAATAAGAATGATCTAATTTAAAGGAAAGGAAAAGATTTTTAAAAAATCAACAGAACTTGAATGATCTGTAGGATAATACAAAAAAAATCTGACATGTGTAACTGGTGTCACAGAAGGAGAAGAGAAAGGCTGAACAAAGTATTTAAAAAATAATGACTGAAATTTGGTGCACATATCCACTTTTAGATCCAGGAATCTCTGTGAATCCCAAACATGGTTAATATAAAGAAAATTATCCCTAGGCACATGACAGGCAAACTGCTGGAAACTACTAAAAAGAACACATTAAAAGAACACACTAAAAAGAACACATTCTACCATTCTGGTTAGAAGGGCGGGGCAGGGAGGAGAGGTGGCCCAAACAATGTATACATATATGAATAAATGTTAAACAATTAAAATAAATAAATACAAACTGAAAAAAAAAACCCACAAAATACCCACCACCATTACACCCACAGGAACAATGGGAATGGTGTACCATTTCTCACTAGTGTGATCTTCTTGCTTCTATGATACACATGTCATGTCAGGGGTCCACAGGAGTCTCAGTGAACCTCATGCTGCAGCTTTCTGATCGTTCACCCCAGCTTTCCAGCTCTGGTCCTGAGCATCCCAGAGGACTTCTCCACCATGAAGGGCTATATCCATATCATTTCAACAAGGTGTGATTTCAGCTTTGAGAGGGGAGAGAGCCTCTTCCATTCAGCAGCAGAGAAGGAATGAACTATTGATACATACAACAACACAAATGAATCTAAAAAATACTATGTTGAGAAGAATTTAGACATGGGAGAGCATATACTGCATAATTTCAGTTATAGAATGTTCAAGAACAGGCAAAACTAATCTCAAGTTAGAAATGAGAATGATAGTTTACATGGAGATGAGGACTAGTCTGAAAGGGGGCAAAAATGGACTTTTTGTTTCATAAGATGTTTTGTATGTTGATTGTGGTGGTGGTGACACTGGTGGCTCATGCCTGTAATCCTAGCTACTTAGGAGGCCACTAACTCTTAAAACTCTGCTCTGGCTGGTGACTGGAACCCTGCTGCTCTTACCTACTGCCCACTCGCAGTGGACTCATAAATATCAGACTCTCTGCTTTTTTCTTTTCTTTTTCTGACAATAGCCATCTTTATTAGAGAACAAGTATAGACTTTTTGTAATTCAATATCCCTCCCTGTTAGCTCTTATAACCAGCTGTGTAAGACATTATCTTAGTCCTTTCCTTGTCCACACGGGACACCAAACTTCTTTCTCACTGTGAGTCAAATGTTATATCTTATTAGCAAATTCCAAAATTAGTGTAAGAAGTTTTATAGAATGAGTGATATTTTTTATATCAGCAATCAGCAAAACTAACTAAAGAACAAAATGATTCAAGGATGTTGGATATTAAACTGGATCCAGAACTAATTCTAATAATACTGACAATAAGAATTCATTGTTTCATTACTGACAGATACTTATTTGGTACCTATTTTGTGCATAGCATTTTAGGGGATACAGAGATAAATTTGATGGGACTCTTACTTTAGAAACTCACAAGACAATAGGAGTGGATTTGTTCATGAATAATAAAATAGGATAAAAGAGCTGAGATTTATAAATAAGTGTTCAGTGGTATCCTCAGAACTGTTACTTGAGTGTCTGACATTTCTTAATTTTGACTCATTCGTCTTAAGTACACTTTTGTACACACTAAACGGGCTTCTAATTTTGTGATTTAATTATGTGTCCCTTAACAGAATCAAAGGTTGTATAAAGTCATTCTAAACCCATTAATTTAACTTATTTTAAACACCATAAGAACTTAAGTATTGTCACAAATTTGAAGAATAGGAAACAGAGACCTATATTATTTAAAGAAAAACCTGCCTAAAAACACTTGGTTAGAAAGAAGCAGAGCCAAAGTCCTAAGTCATGAATCTAGGCCTTCTTTTTAAAATTTTTTAATTGTACAAAGTAAGGAATTTTATTATATTTCTCCACACACATATAACATACTTTGATCATATTAGCCCCTCTACTGTCCTTTCTTATCCCCTCCCATGTCCCCCATTCTCCCTTCCACATTCCTAATAATCCCCCTTTTACTTTCATGTCCTTCCCCAGTCCAGATTACACATATGAGAGAAAACATGTAGTATTTGTCTTTGTAAGATCTCCAGTTTCATCAATCTTCTTGCAAACTACTTAATTTCTTTCTTCTTTGTGACTGAATAAAATTCCTGTGTGTGTGTGTGTGTGTGTGTGTGTTTGTTTTTTTAATCCATTCATCTATTGATGGGTACCAAGGCTCATTCCATAACCTGGCTATTGTGAATAGTGCAGCCATAAACAAGGACATGCAGGTATCTCTGTACAGGCTAACACTGAAATAGGAAGAACTTAGTGAAATATCTGTAATGCTAATGAACCTCAGGGTGTGAAGGGCTCAATGAAATCACTAGTTTCATTCATCCATTGTCTACTCTGTATATTAATTAAGTTGTTTCAAAGACCCTTTTGAGTCATTTCAAATTGGTGGACTGGACTTTGATGGACCATGGGAAAGATCCTGGACTTATAGAGATGGGTTGAGTATATAATCCATAGCTTAGGAATGTCTATTCACACACTCATGACATTACTTCAACACACTTTTTATTAAGGCTTTCCTAAAGATACACTGTATAGGCCATGCTGTAATTACAAATGTTTTCGATACCTGGAACATTGTAAAGACATCTTAAAAGATTATACATGCTTTTATATGAAGTTAATTTGTACATAAAGAATATATCTATAAAAATCATGTTTATAACATGATGTTTATAACATGTTTAACAGTTATTATTAGACTGTTTCATTTCTATAGGATATCATTTCTATGGAATTTAAACTCATTCAGTTGGCCTTGAAAAGATGGTATTAAGAGATCTGTAAACTAGAGGACAAACTCATTTTTTCCTGAATTCCTTCTCCACTCATATTCCAAATGATAGCACTAGAGCATAAATATATAGGAATATAGCATACGTATCTATGAGTATAAAAGAGATTTTGAGATTGAATTGGATATGGTATCATTGTTATAATTTAAGCCCAGTGCTGTCACTTTGTTCTATTTTGTTAAGGCAGAAAAAAAATGGACATTCCTTTGAAGAAGCAATTTAGCCAATGCATAATTCTTCATTCTTTAGGTTAGTTCATGTAGGAAAAAAATGAACAAATTTTGCTTTAGGAGGAACCATATTTGTAAATGAATATAGGAAAAAACATTCATGTTTTATTAACTCATTTATCCTTTTAATTTAATGTTTCACTTACTTTTTCTAATACTAATGTTAAAAATGCCTATCATTTGTTAATTCTAGCAATGGGAGGACAGTTTATACAATTTATCCCATAAAGTTTCATTTTAAATCTCCATTTAAATGGTTTACCTTCTAGCATTACCAAAAACAAAACACCAACCTGAACATGTACAGTACGTGTGTGTGTGTGTGTGTTTTGTACACCCAACCTTAAAAACATCATTTGACATTTCATAGATTTATTATCTAAAGTGATATCTAATTACATAGAAAAGGGAATATATGCTAGCTGAGTCAACTTCAGTATCTCTTCCTTTGTATCAAGGGCTTTACATGACTTCTTCCTCAATTCTGAAAGCACACAGCTCCTTATTCCCTTCACCATGAATAAGGCTGACATTTGACAGCTTCACAAGGCTGACAGGGTTACCCAACAGCCCACCCTCCCTATTCTCAATCCAATTAGACCTCTAATCCTCCAGATGAAAGGCCCGACTGCTCCCGCTCCTCATGACAACGACAGCTATTGATTATTTGTCACTGCAGCTAACACCTTCCCATCGAGGCTGCTCTGACAGAAGCAAACCTACCAAATTAGACAGCACTTTATCTGCCCTGGAGGCCAAATGGCACAACAAGTAAAGGCTAATAAATGGTATAAAAATGAACAAATCATAACATTATGACAGGCTGATCGTTGCCAGCAGCCTCCCAGCTCAAGCTTGATGTTCTGTTAGAATTGCTCCTTCTCTTTCCCCTCTGCTCTAGCTCTAACTTTGACTGAATTAAAGGCCAGAACAATTAAGGCATTTGACCAGCAAAGATAAACCAATTGAAGTATCACCAAGGGACATAAATGTCAATAAATGACTGCCATTTGTCAATAGAAACATTCTGGAGATGCAAATGCTCAGGCCTCCACGCTCCACTAGGCTGCACTGGCTCACTTTCCAACAGAATTCAGTGCAAATGCACTCTGTGGCTACTTAATGAGAAAGATGGAGTTGGGTGGGGGTGGGGATTGAGGAAAGAAAGAAGAAATTTATGGTCCCAAGAGAGGAAGCATTCTATGAAGAATAAGCAAGAGTCACTGGGGTGGGCAGTTGGGGTTTGTATGAGAAAAAGATACTGGCAAAGCAGAGGTAGTCTTTCTTTAGAAAAGATTCTGATATTAGACAGCTGGATGCCATCGTATGCTTTCCATGGAGAATATATGCATAGTGTAAGAAATGCTGGACTACTGGGAGAATTAATAAAGCTATAACTTTAGAAGTATATTTGCTCACTCAATTATTTTTGAGCACCAACCATGCACTTGTCCTAGGCAATGGGGGTAAAGTAGTGAATAAAAGAGAAAAAAAAATCCCTAACATCATGGACATTCATCACATTCTCGTGCAGTAAAAGACAATAAGTAAGATAAATAAGAAAAATATATAGTATTTTAGATAGTGTTAAGTGCTAAGAAAAAAACATACAGCAGAGTAGGATGAATAAAATGCATAGAGGCTTAACGGGGGGAATTAGATAGGACACTCAGTACAGCGCTAAGGAGATGGAGGGAGTTCAACATGGAGATTCCTATTGAAATAGCATTCCTAACTGAGGAAAGAACAAATGCAGAAACATATCTTGATGTTAGAGGAACAGCACTGAAGCCAGAGTGGTTTATAAGGAGAAAACAAGGGGAAGATTAGAAATAAGGTCATAACTATAAAGCTTTATAGGACATAGGAAGTACAGTGGTTTCTCAGTATCCCAAGGAGATTGGTTCCAGACCCCTGCAGCTATTAAAATCTGCAATGATCAATCACTCCCCTATATAAAATGATGGAATTTGCATATAACTCACACACATTCAACATACTTTAAATCATCTCGAGATTACTTAGAATATTTAATATAATTTAGATTCTATGCAAATAGTTGTTAAACTATACTGTTTGAAGAATGAAGATAGGGAAAAAAGGTCTGTGCATGTTTGGTACACATTCAAGTTTTCTTCTAAATATTTTCTACCCGTGGTTGAATCTACAGGTATACAACCCAAAAATATGTAGGGCCAATTGTGCTTAGGCTTTTACTCTGAGATGGAAATCCCTTGGAATGTTTGGAACAGAAGAGTGACATGATTGACTCAGGCTTCAAAGGATCATTCTGGTTGATATATTGGACATAACTGCGGGGGCAAAAGCAGAAACCAGATTAGTTAGGAGGTTACCATAATCAATGTAGCAAGGAAGCGACAATAATCCAGCCCAACATAATGATAGCTAGGATAAAGGAGTGATGGGAGGGATGTTGAAAAAAACAGATGAATTCTGGAGAACTCCAGAATGTAGAGTTAATAAGATTTACTGAGGGACACCTGTCTCATACAGGGCTTTGCATAAAAATGGGAACTCAGTACATGTTAGTTGAATTCAATTCTCAAGCAGGCAGTTCCATTAAAAATGTTGTACCTTGCAGCAAGGGAGCTATGTTCAGCCAAATTTTCTATAGATGACTTTAAGCAAAGACTTACAAATGTTTGAACCCTGGCTCATTCTCTTGAGTTATCACTATCTTGAGTGATAAATTACTCAAGCTCTTTGAATCTCAGTTTCTTCATCTATACAATGTGATATTCTGTTTTTCCTCAAAAAAAGTGAGAAAAAGGAGTAGAGATGTATGATAGAGAAGGTTTTAGGACTGAATTAGAATAGGAAGTGATGAAACTATATTTTTATTTTGTAAAAACACTCCAGTTTGTCTATTGAGAAGACTTAGAAACA